TTAGGAAGCCAAAGATTGAATAATCCTATAGATGCAATATTATTTAAAAAATAAAAACAACTTTACGAACAAATTTTCCAGTAGGGGCCATATACCAATATCTAATAGTTCTGCTGTGCTATAAACATTATATTATGATCAACTATCCAAAAAGTTAGAAAACCAATTATAGAATTTTTTAAATCAAATAAACAAATACTTTTTTTTAGTATATTAATTAATCAAAACGAAATCGTGCGATTCTGTAGTATACAAGAGCTTTATAATAATAATTATTATTTAAGATATTTTGTGCGGTAGCTGAAATCCATAAAAAACATTAATTTTATTTATATAAAATTTTATTGCGGAATTATTTTTGAGAAACAATATATATTTTAAAATTAAAATACATTCTTAGCAGACTATAGTCCTTCTTGTCTATAAATTTAGTGTCAAACTTATTCACGAATATTTAACAACAGATTGAGATTGATTGAGATTGACTTCGATGTGTGCAAATTGAAAAAGGAAAAACCTAGATGTACAAAAGATTTGGTTAATACAAACAAAATATATAATAAAATTTGGGTGTAAATAAATTGCTGTTTTGTGTTTCCATTTCTACTGAATGCAAATTAAATAGCGAAAAAAAAATACTAAAACAATGAACTAAATATGTTATTTGGTTGATTTTATAATGGATATTCTGCTGTTTGTTTAATTTATATTCGATACCAGCTCGAATTTGGTCTAAATTCAATGCGTTTCGTTTTCAGTTTCATAAATTTAGTATCTTCAAATGTGGAGCATGGCAAGAGATATCGCTGGAGCCGTGGCGAGTGTCAGGCCGTGGTGGGCTCATCGGTGACCAGCGAGAGGCGACGCTTCACGTCCTGTGTGGTGTTGTAGGCGCCGCAATTGACGCACTTGAGCCCAATGAAATGGAATTTGGTTTTAGAAGTCTGCAAGGAAGGAGCATATGTAGTTCAATGCGGAGTCAGTGGTACGGATGGGCGCCTCACCTTGTGGCAATCGTTGCAGAAGATGTGCACACGCTGATTCTCATACTTGAGCGGAATGGGCATGCGCAGCGCCTGCGCATCCAGATACTCCCACAGCGCCGTCATGTCAATCAGCGACGTCTGGCAGGTGGGGCAGGTGTAGTGACCCGATGCCAGCAGCTGATCGAAGCACATCTTGTGCAGCAAGTGGCCGCAGTCCGGAATGTGGCACGGAATGCGCGAGGTGTGTATGTCGCCCAGGCAGACGGGGCAGTGCGAGCGCGAAATGTTCTCCACGCACTGCAAAGTGGAGGACATCAAAGCAGCATTATTATTGTTGATTTCAATAAAAAAAAACATCCTTAAGATATATAAAGTTTATACAAAAATTAATCATAATCTCTCCGAACGCCATTTTAAGCGCACCGATCTTGAGCACTGCTAAAGCTAGAGACCTTTAATTACTAATATAAATATATGCACTAAAAAACTTAGCAAAACTAAAGTGTTCATCTTCATTTAAATTTGTACTACCCAAATATCGACAAATTATCGTCTGATATTCAAATTAACTCTTTCAATTAGAGCTGGAATACTGGAGTCAAATCTACACAGATGCTGAGGATATAAATCTCTGCTTATCTTAAGTTTGATTCTGGAGAAAACACAGTTGAAACGTCGTTAATTTGAGTGCATCTCATTATATATATACTATATGTATGCCATATATATGGTATCTTTTAGTCGAGCAATTTCATCGGGCATGTTGCTTTCCTTTCGTTTTTGTAAATAGCAGATTTTGCGATTTCTGCGAGTTTGACTTACCCCACTTAAAAAGCTTTCTACAAACATAAATTCTCAATATTAATTATTACCGGTTTCATTGTAGCTCCACCTGTTCACTGATCATTCAAGTTAGGAATTTCGACAATTTATGTCTTTAACTGAATTTAAAATCAAGCTCAACAACCTTTACCCAGTTGTGTTGATGATTAAGGTCAATATTCAAGGCTAAAGTGTATATATAGATTCGTTTTATGATCTACAATCAATTTGTTTATGAAAATATTGGATTGTAGCCAATATTTTATGTAATATTATTATTGTAACTCAAATATTCATCAAGATCACTAAGCTCAAGATTTTATGTCTGAATGTCTGTGTTGCTATTGGTTATTCAAATGTTGCTTAACTTTTACCAGCCATTATGATATCACCTCATCGATCTATCAACTGCTTACCCTATGTCCATCGATTTTCAGCTGCATCGGCAGACACATGTTGCAGACCTCGCAGTGGAAGAAATTGTGAGCGCCGCCGATGCGGCAAATGCCACAGCCATGACAATGATATTGCTGCTTGTCGGAATCATCAAACAGATTGCAAATGAGGCAAGTGTACTGGAAAGAACAACATCTATCAGCAAGTATTCACACCAAGGGAGAGAGAGAGAGAGTGAGAGAGGGAGGGAGTTTAAGTACTTACCTTGCCGAAGCGTACGCCACACTTCTCACATTGCTCCTGCACCTTCTGCCTCGTATTGCACTCGGAGCAGATGAGTTCCGTTAGAGTCTTGCGATCGAAGTGATGCGATTCGTTCTCGTCATGGCAGAAGCGACACTTGTAGAACTTATCGCAACAGGGTGTCTGATAGGAATAGAAGTAATATATAATAATATATACTAGTAAATTATTGTATTCAGTTTACAGTAATGGATGACAAATCAAGTGAAATTCAGTGTGAATTCAATGTAAATTCGAAGGCAACAATGGAAAGCTGAAAGTACGATTTTTTAGTACGTGATCAAATGTTGCAATGTTCCGTGCAGTTTCATTTATTTTGATATCAGATGTACGACTCGGCTTAAGCTATAGCAGTTGGGGTCAACGTAAACTTGGCACATACTGGTCGTAAGCCCTTTATCTGAATTAGAATCAGAAATCAAATACAAAGAGCGACGAGTCTGGCCAATTAGTGGCAAACACACGTCGCATCATTAGATGTCCGATAATTAATTAGCTTAACACACACACATTAAATGTTTAAATCATTCAGTACAATAGCAATCAGGTAATTGATCGTTAAACTGTAAAAGGTCCAATCGGGCTGACCATGGGATTTTGTAACAATTCTAAAAATGCAAACAAAGATTAGAACATTGCCTAGGCAACATATATGTACATATGTATATATCAGGTAGTTGAATGCTTCTAGATGTTTTTGATAGGCATAAATATTTTAAGTATTTCAAATTTTGTATACTTCATACCCTTGTTCGCAAGTTCGAATTCAACACATTTCGAATAATTGAGATTCGTGCTTTGGAAAAAAAGCGTCACAAATAGTAGTTCTGCTCAGAGTTTATTCCAGTTGAGCACGTCCCACTAGGGATGTTTGTTTGCGTCTCAAGTACAATTTCAATTTATTTCTAGCTACAACTTTATAGAGCATACAAATTCATCGCACCATTAAAATTCAACTACTTCGTTTATTTACGTGATTTATTTAAATATAAATAACTAAATGAGAAAAAACAAGCTTGCTTTAAAAAGTAAAGTACCTTAAAGCCGGTTTCTTTGATTTTCCCACAC